TTTTTTTAACTTCTTCAATTATATTATCCACGTTTTCCTGGAGATGACAAGATTCACATCTTACCACTTATGGAAATGAAGAAGGTAATAATTTTACCCTCAAACAACTTCTCTTTTCATAAAGAGGAAATGGAATAATATGTGGTTGTTTTCTTTCGCATAAAAGGAATGTTTTCAAGACTCTGGTTATCATGTCCCTGGGGCCATGATTTTCATTTAGTGAATGCTCAAAGGTAGAATTTACTTAGCTCTAACTTAACATTACCTAAAATAAAATGAGAGAAAGGTAGAGGGAGAGTTAGCGTAAGGGAAAGGGAGAGAGAAGCAGAGGGAGGAGGAGGAGGAGGAAGTAGAAGAGGAGGGGAGAGAGGGAGAGAAGTTGTAGAGAGGGAAGAAAGAGACAGAGAGAGAAAGGGAGGAAAACTCAAACTTAGCCACAGACTGTGGTTTTTGAAAAATACTTTAAAAACAAAGTAATGATGTAGAGTTTCAGAATGCGTCTGATTTTAGGATCAGTGTATAGGAAGGGAAATTTATTAAAAATCAGAGGCACAGGGTTCAGAAGAAAACGAGAAACCCAATTGTGGAGTTAGAGTGTTTGGTAATCATTTAACTGTGATACTCTTGAACCAACTGATGTTTCCAAAAGATCATCGATGACAAGCATTCTTCTTAAAATCAAAATGCATACACTTAAAATACACAAAGATTTTTATGCTCTGTTCCAAGAGCTTTTCATTAGTGTTTCCATATCTTAGGTTTGCACATTTTCTTAAATAAGCGTCTATTTTTTAAAACTTCTGCTCTATTTTGACCTTATTTGTTTCCACATGTTAGCAGTAACTATAGTGAGAAATCTCACTTTATTCTTTAATTCTGTGCTAAGCACATTTCACTCTGTAATATTTTTATGTACCATGTCATTAACAATGATGGCTTTTCAGAGTTCCAGTGAAAGGTTAGAACAGTTTACTTCAGGAAGAGATGGAAAATATTTGTCCTTTTTTTTCACACAAAGATACAAAGTCACAGCACAAAAAAGACTTTAACCCTCCCTATTCCAGAGCATTTCCTCAGCAAATGTCAACACAGAGACACAACGCTAGTTTTCTATTAATGGGATTCCGCTTTGCTTCTTTTGCAAAAAAATAATATTTACTTTTTAATTGGTTGCCAGTCCCTCTTGTATGTGATTTTAAAAACACTGAAAACTGATGACAAAACCCCAGGAAAAATGACTAATTAATGCTATCAAAGTCAAAATAAAAATTCCAAAAATGTCAACAGATTTTATTAATGAGCTAAAAGGAAGAAGATGCCATCTAACCAGTATATATTTTTAAGTCTTTCACAGATTAAGAAAGTACAACTCCTCGGTTTTAACATGGGGAAAAATTGTGAGTAAGCCAGATGGAAAAAAGTGAGTTATTTCATTTATGTGTGAACTCATTATAAATCAACATTGTGATTGGCTGCCAGATGATCTACTTCATTATTCCCTATAATTAGAAAGTTATGTGTTCCACCACATTTTCCATGTATATTATCTGAACTGGAGTTTATCTTTGGGTATCTAATGAGAATGAACTTGACAAATTGGATGCTCCCAAAGGACGGCAACCCAACTATCAATATCCTGTTAATACATTCATTTAAAACCACAGAAGAGACAATATTTTCAGCTTTGCAGCTGGGATCCATTTGTCCAGATCACAGCTCTTTCCCTTTTTCAGTTGTGACTGCCGTCAAAGTATTTAACTCCCACATGCTTACGCTCTTGCCACTGTAAAATGGGAATGATAATAATTATAAGTTGATTGTAAATATTAAATTAAATGCAGAAAAACTTCTTGTTGGAGAATAAAAGCTAAATTTTCATGTTTAATTAGTTCATTTTTATTTATTCCCACAGAAATTTCAGTTTATAAGCAAAATCAGACACTGTACATGCCCAAATAACTAATAAAAATTAGAAATTCATAAAAACTATGGGAGAGGTACATATTAGGTGGTATGCTTAATTTTTCATTCATATATTGTAAATAGATGTGTGAGCTATGTGAGTTTGTGAAATCCATAAATATTGCAAATTAAATTACAAATGCAGGGTTTACTCAGGGGTCACTGTGTAGTTGGCAGTGGATTTTTTCAATGCACTACTCGAATCTTGCAGTACTTCTTTCTGATCTATTTATCTCATTTAATCTTCACACATATTCTGAAAGATAGTGTATTCATTACATTCTTGAATCACTGAGATTGCTAGGATGCGTTAAGTAAAATACTGCAATTCTAAAATTAAGTTGCTAATTAATTGGATATGAGAATAAACAGAAAGATTAAATTTAAGATGATTTCAAAATTTTACATTTGGAAAACTAAGACTATAAGGTGTTGTTAATTATAGAAGAAATACAGAGAAAATGGGAAGATTTGGGGGAGTATCTTGACTCCCAAATCAAGGGGTGATGAAGGAATTTTTTTTACACAGAGCTTGAGCTGCCTGGGAGATGCAATGGGATTCTACTTCTAGATGGAGAAACTATGAGATTGAGAAAAGGAAGACCTGCTATACACAAACACACACGTGCACCCCTGGCCTGCTCATCTACAGCCTAGGAGAACTATAAAAAAAGAATGCAAATGCATAGTTTAACCCAACACAAAGAGGATGAATCTCTGGGTGGAAGAAATTCAGAGGCAACTTCAAGTCTGAGCAGTAGCTCTAACATTGAAGCTGCAGTGGCTGGGAGGACAGATCAGATTTAAGTGCTCTGGTTTGGGAATTAGTATTTATTGCTCTCAGTGAGAAATGCTGCAATCTTAGGACCAAACCAGTTGGTGGAGGTAAAAGAAGAGGAAGAACTGGAGCTACTGACCAAGAGAACTTTTGGGGAAGCCTCTCTGTACCCCATCATGGAGTGAGGAACATGATTACCAGAGAAATCGAAACCCTAACCTGTGTGGCGTGGAGGCTACGGAGCATTCATTTATAATGGATGATTACAAATCACTCTCATATAATGGAGACTTAGGTTAAAAATTGCATTTGGCTATTGTGACTATTTTGGTACAGCCAAAAGCAAATGCAAAATTGCTGTATAGAAACATTTTTCTAATCCCTATCCACAGAGTTCCTCCCCAAATACAGATGCATGCACCCATGCACGCACTTACACACACACACACACACATACCCTGGTAGCAAGGGAATCATCCTGCTAAGCCTGATCCACATCATATGAAACTACAGACATAAAACACAGTAGGATTAGTACCCTAATTCAGGAGATGCCAAAGATAGACATGGGCATTCTTTATATAAAGGTAATACTTGACTGAGAATTTTAATAGGATTGTCCAGGAAGAGAGAACATGAATAGAGGAAAGAGAAGTTGAAATCTGGGTGCATACTATTTCAGAACATCCACTATTTTGCTAACAGAAAGTTGGAACTCACAGAGTACAGAGACATAAGCCATAAGACTGCAACTTAATGGACAAAAAATGTAAAAGCAGTAAATGGACCTGGAAAATTTTAGCTTGGAAAAAAATGAAACACGATAACCACTTTCAAATATTTGATGGTCAGTAACAACAGGATTCGATTTACTGTTAAGTAGCTCTGAAACAGAAATGACAAATTAGAACAAATGTTTGCAAATTTAGAGAAGTTCTTTTTGGCTGGATATGAGAAAAATCTTTGTTGGAATTTGTTGTCCGAAACTTGGGTAGGCTACCTTTAGAATGAAGAGTTATTCCACCTTACAGGTGTGTGAGCATTCAGGAGTGTTTAGAGCAGAATTTTGCATTGCATAAGAATTTAGCTTCCCTCTACATTCTTTCTAAATCTTATTCTCTGGTTTAGTGATAACTGAAAACAAGTCTGTGATTTTATGCACAATATTCCAATCTTACGATGTATTTGATGTAGCCCAGATTTTGAAGACATAGCATTCTAATAATTAAGCATACCTGAAGAGCATTTTGAACATTGAGAGAAGTTGATGAGAAACTGTTCTCCTCTGCGTCTTTCTGGAAAACAAAACAAAATGAAACACGGTGAGTCCTTCCCCACCATTTAGCTGCGACAGAGACTAAAGCAATATGCATTTTAAACAGCCATGAAACAGCTCTAGATTTAATATAAACTTTAATGAATTTCTATTTATATATACATGCTAAAAATATCAGATTCAATTAAGGCATTCAGAGACAAATTGAGAATTTAGAATGCTTTCATTCCAGGTTTATTCGTTAGAGCTATTATAAATTATTTTTCCTTAAATATTAAAAACAGCCTTTGGAGTCAGTTTGGAATAAAATTCAGAAAAACTAATCCCACTGTAACAATGAAAAAAAGCCAGAATATGTACAAAATCATAACTTCTCCTGACCCAGCAGAAATGTGAGGTCACAAGGTGACCAAGTAAACTGAATTAAAAAACGTGACAGTTCCTTCTAAGAGAGATGGAGCACCCCAAGTGTTCAGTCTTTGACAGAGTACAGGAAAAAGAGATGGGACACATAGAAGTGGGTATGAAGAAATCAGCTAAAATTTTAACTAATTATTAAAGGCCAGATTGAGCTGGTATGCCAATTTGGAATATGAGGAAGCCCAAGACATGGGGACTTGATAATAACCTGCAAGTTCTTTTCCACAGACACCTAACAGTTTCTCAGAGGAAATGTTGAAGTCAGTGCAGGAAACTGAGGGCCTATTTTGTGGCACAGGTGTGTAGGTGATTAGTGATTTGGTGGAGGGCAGTCATCCACTCCTGTGAATCCCTCAGTTGAAGCAAAAGTCTGTGGGGGTTGGCAGCAAACCTGCTGTCATTCAGAACCCAGGAAAAGTTCCCTTGTTTCTGCGGGAGAAGTAAAAAGCAAACCGTCTACCTCTGGAGCACAGGTAGGACAGAGGTGAAACGCCTTTGCTGTGAGGGAAGGATAGAAGCAAAATCCTTTTGCTCCTGGGGAAGGAGCAGGAAGCCCTGTCTTGGACCTAGTATTCTGCAAACATGCCACCAAAGGTCAGAA